TCTCTCTCTGCCTCCTCTGCTTCCCAAAAGGCATTTGAGCTGGCGGAATGGAGGAAAATGGAAAAGAGGAAACAAAGACACATGAAGAGACAGGAGGAGAGAAAGAAATGGGAAGTCAACAATGACGAGAGGGGGTAGCAGCATGGGGCTCACATGGCTCTGAGCAGGAGTTGTGGGCCTGCGAGAGAAGATACAACATCTGGATGAGATCAGACAGGAGGAGAGGCAGAACCTGGAAGTCATGAAACAGCAGAACGAAAAACCAATAGACCCACTGGCCTTTGCTGGAAATGCCTTCAAAGGTCATCTGGATGCCCCCTCATTTTCCAGAGGAGGAGATGGGGGTGTGGTGGGCAGTAACTTGGAGAGCTCGTTTCTTCTGCATTGCACCATGATCTGCCCCTACCAAGTAGTGTGGAGCCCATGGGAGGCAGGGCGAACAAGGTTCTGCACTGGAGGTGAGCTGTCCAGGTGCCCCTCAAGGCGTCTTCCTCCCAATCCCTCTGGGATTCTAGCATTCTAGGTACGAGGGCTGTCTCTGTATATTTGCAAACATCACAATATCCTCAGTTTACAAAGCCTAAAGATACAAAATGAGATTATTTTAAAGTGAACTTGATATTGCCCTTCAAAGTAGACTATACATTGCAGCTCCGTATACTGATATCTGCCTTATATATTTAAATTAACAAATGAAGTGTGGCTGTTATTGCTCACACCATTTGTACCCAGTAAGGAAACATACAAGGAAAAGACAAGCTAATGCGTAGGGAGACACATCATTTTACACCTGTGTTGTCCACCAGACACCACGCCAGTGGCTTTGGCTTGCTCCAGAAGAAAAAATGTACCCTCAACATGACCACGATGGGCTTCTAACATCACTTGGAAAATAATATGTCCTAGCTTCTAAAGATGACCCCAAAAGAGATGTACTAAAAATATTCGGAGCAATGACAACATCCTTGGAACATGCACTCAGGCTTTTGAGGTGACTTTTTTGAAGGGGAAACACTGAGTTTTGGTGTGGTTATGAAAAAAACTGGTCATGTGATTCTGTGCTCAAAGCTCCGATGTAACCATTTGGGATAAAAGAGAAGGCCCTGATATTTTCAAATCTGCTCTCAAGGGAGGAGACGAGTCAAGAATGGACGCGGACACGGGAAAGTTCTCATCTCCCACCTCCTGAGGGCAGTCTTCAGACCATCAGCACATATGGGGCCGGGTCACCTGCACTCCCAAGGTGAGCGAGGTATCGGGGGTGCGGGGTTCATGGAAAGAGCTCTCTGCCTCTCCCAGAGAGACATGTACCTCCCTCTGCAGTTAACCAGCAGCTGGAAAGCCTACTCATTCCTCAGAGGCATCGTGGATTGAGAAGGAAAAGACGTTATAAAAGTAAAGCTGTGAACAGTCTATTGTTACTCCAATGCCTGCAGTGGAGCATTCGGCCAATCAGAAGGTGAGATCTTAGAAAGAGTGCGATGCATGTCGGTGGCTGGAGGCTGGCCTGTTTGAGAGCCTGGAGAGAAGAGGAGAAGAAAGACCTCGTGCTTCTGTTTTGGTCTGCTACTTTTTGCAATTTTTCTTTCAGTATGATAATGGGGCTCAAGAAAACTAGTGGCTTTTGGAGAAAATATGAAAACTGGTCAGGTATTTGTTCATTCAGTCAGCCAATGAATATGCCTTTGATATGGCGGGTACCAGGCAAGGTGCCAGATAGTAGCTACTTTTTGCAAGTACCAAGATTTAAGTATTTTCATAGAGCATCCACTCCATAATCTGCTCCAGGATTTTATCTAAGTAAGCTACACCGACTACATGCTTGGTGTACTTTTGGGTCTGATTTCTAAACCATTTTACGCTAGGTCGTTCTTCTGCATAAGATTGAGTGCTCCAGAAAACAAACTCTGCTTTTGCAATCCCTTCTCAAACCTTCCCCGATGCCCACTTCTGGCTGCATTCGCTCAAATACACGCTCACTCATGCATGCTCACAAGCACAGCCTCTCACTTGGGCCTGGGGGGGAGGGGGCGGGTCATAAACTATGTAACCCTTTCATAAATTCACAAGACAGTGTTTACTTTTCTATCACCAGTCATAACCTGTGTTTGTCAAAGTTACTTTCATTCATTATATCACCAATCAGCACAATTAAGAGATAGAGCCTCAATGTGTCACAGCATCTTTTTCACAGTTTAACAACTGGCAGGCACAAGGCCTTACAGATTCATTCACGCAAGCTTACGTAACTTCATCACATGCTTATGTGAACACAGCCAGGTTTGCAACTACACTGAAAATTCTTCAGGCCACCCTTTGTGTGTGTATGAGGCCACAAAAATGTTGCTAGCTTTTTATAACAGGGCTGATGAATCTGATGGCCATGACCTACCTGAGTTCTACATTTCTATCAAGTGTCTGCCCCTCTCTCCCAAGGCAGTAAAGCTGGAATCTACTTGCCAATGTCAGTTTGAATTCTAGGTGTGGGTACTGCATGGACGAGCTCTGTTAACAAGAGAAGGATTGCAGAGTTGGCTTCATCTCAAACGTCTGCATCTGATTCACAGACATCTGTGTCTCCCTGAGAAATAACGTTTTCACAACCAGAGCTGTCCAACAAAGAAGTAAGCCACTTCCTATGGGAGTGAGCTCCTCCTAGTGGGAAGTGGTCAGGCAGAGCCGTTTCTCAGGGCTGTGGGCAGGCGTTCCAGCACTTGGACAGAGAGGTAGAGCCTTCCTGAGATTTGAGGATGCTACACAGATGATGGAGGGAGCCTCCGGTCACACATGCTTACCCTGAAATGACACCAGTGAGGGCCTGCTATTTCACAGTGAGCTGTTTGGAGAAGCAAGACTTTGGGTGGGTTCAGAGTGGGCTCCGACGGAAGACGTTTGTGTTGGTCTTTGCAAAGAAACTCTAGTGCATGGAAACACCTCTGAGGCTCAGGTCATGTGGTCAAACTACAGAGCGGAGCACGGTGGGCTGGCAGCGCAGAGCAAGTCTAAGTGGTATATGTAGACCCTTTGGGCAGAGAGAGGCTTTGCCCCCACACTGTCTGACATCATTACGTAACTGGCTGCCAAGAGCTCTCGGCTCCTGAATGTGTCTTCAATCCTCTTGTTCCCCACCCTCTCCAATCAGCTCTGTGCAGCACCCGGACCGGAGGAGGTTTCATTCCCGGCTGCGTGCTGTCTTTTCCTCTGGAGGAAATCGGACTCCAGGCTCGGCGTGGGGAGAGCCCCAGGCCTCTCTGTAGGGTTTTAAGAGCATAGGTCTGGGGCCCTGCTTGGAGAGCAGAGAGTGAAGAAAAGCAAATCCTCATCTAAAAATGTGCTTTTGCTTCTCAGTTAGGGGAATTTCCTGAAGCCTGGGAGAGCCGGCGTGAGCTTTCTTCTCCAGTACAACGTTCTGGTGAAGCCCATGTGTGATCATACCACTGTAACCACAAAGGAATTTACCACAGGAAATGTCCCAGCTGTTGCCTATTAGCATTAGGACAAATTACACAAAGCAAATTGTTAGCAGACATGTTTCCGTAATATTTAACTGGTGGCAATAAATAAGAGCGATTCTCTTTCAAATAAATGGCTACATTTCCAAAACTCCAGCTTCCAATTGTCCGTGAAGGAATCATCCTCGATTAGGAGGGAAGGGTACCTTGGAAGCTGAGGTTCCCGGTGACCTTCCCGGTGACCTTCCCGGGGGCACCGCTGGGAGTCAAGCAGGAGGCTCCTGTGCGGGGCGTGCGGCGGGTGCAGCTGCTGCAGTGACGTCGCCAGACGCCAGGAGGAATGTCTGCCCCGCCGTGTATCTGACCACCTGCTGGCTTCGCCGCTGGGGCTCTCTGCGTGCCCTTCTGTGCCACAGGGGACATGGCACGTGGCAAGACACCGCTGCGGCTCTTGGAGTGTGTTTTTGAAGGAAAAGAAACCACACCCACAGGCAGGTTTTCACCCTTCTCCTTAACAAAATACTGCAGTTTAAAAAATTACCTACTTCTTCAAAATCCCAGGTCTTGTTATCTGAGTTGTTTTTTTTTTTTTTTTTATGAGTCAAATCTCCTTATGGTCTGGCCCCAGCGGAGAGGAGGGAAGGTGGCCCACGGCGCACGGCCCACAGCGCCACCTTCTGCGCACGCGCGGCCCGGCTGTATCTTTGGAGAGAAAGCACAATGTTTTCATCTTGCAAGACCTTCCGATGGTGACGACCTTCGAATCCCTTCCTTACCTCTGGGCATTTCCAACTGTCTTCAGAGATAGGACAAAATTCTCCTAAAACAATCTCAAAAACCAACTAAAACATAATCTTCATTTTTAAAGAGTAAGAAATATTTCACACAGGACGCAAATGCAAACAGGTTATTGCAGCGTCAAGGCTCGGGACTGTTGGGACAGGTGCTCTTTCATTGTTTTCCTGAGACAGGTAGTTTCGTCTCCCCGCTCACTGGTTTCCTGCTCCGCAGCCAGCCTCAGCCCCCCCCCCCCCCCCTACTCCTTAGGATGTATTCCAGTGCGGCCCTGGGTTCTCCCGGGGAGCCCTTCACTCCTTTTTCTACTGAAAGGAGAAGCGCTTGGCAGCCCTGCTGAAGGGGAATAACAGCCCAGTGTGCCGTGAACAAGGCGCTGAGGATGCTGCTCCCTGCCCACAGGTGTCCCTGGCTAGGCCTCTCCTCTGGCTCATGAGCCTCAGACAGCGCCTCAGTTGGGTGGGCCCAGAAGCGCCCCCCCCCCCCCGCCGCCTCCAGGGCGCACCCTGCTGGCCTCAGGGGGTTAGCAGGTTCTGCCTCCGCGTTACAAAGCAGGGGAGGCCTATTTAACCAAGCAAATGTAATAGCTGATACACTCTCAGCCACTTCCTAAGGCTCTTCCAACCACAGTGTTCACACACACACACACACACACACACACACACACACACACAATCTCTACATCTTTTACCGGAAGTCTTCACCAAAGGAATAAAATATTTAAAACACCTTAGGCAATAGAATTGTCTCCAGATTTTGGAAAAAGTGTTTAATAGAAAAGTATAATTGAAAATATTTGGAACATGAACACACACACACACACACACACGCACACACTGTCTCTAATTAGGAAGCAGGCAAAACTATAGCATTATTTGCTACAACCTGAAGCAAACCTACGACAGTGGAATAACAACTACCGTATCTGTACAAGTGTGGGGCCCCAAATAAGCTCACATTTAGACAAGAGTGACACATGGCCTGACTGTTGAAGGTCTGTTTAGATGAAATGGCCTGGCATGTTTTACATTTGCTAAGCTATTTAGCTGCCGGGTTTGACAAGATTTTTGAAAGGGGTGAAAATTAATTATTATTGCAATACTACTACAATAATTTGCTCGGCTAATTGCATTCCAGTGCAAAAACAGGCAAGGAAGAATTTCCTCCCAGGCTATTCTCTGATTCTGCAGCATTCGTTTTAAGAGTAATGAGATTTTTAAAAAGTCAAACCGTAAATATCATGGCTTCAGCAATCTGTCCTGCTTCCAGTTTAATGCGAAATGAATAGCACCTCTGTGAGAGCGGTTTCACGCGCACTCGGATCCAGTTTTCTCCTAGACTTGGGACGGGAACATCTCTCTCCCCTGAAAACTGCTCAGAGTATCTCTGTGACATTGTTTGGGGATGGTTTTAATTTGGGGGCACAAGGCTCGTGTTTTATAGTGAGGGGACCGCTAGCGAGGATGGGCAGGAAATTGTGAAAGTCCCTAAGTGAGGTATGTGTTGACGGACTAGCCACCAGGGGTTTCAGAGTGTGGCGCAGAAACAGAGAGAGGAATATGGGCTGTTGTGGGGTTTCTGGGGTTCGCACAGCATGGCGCGGAGTATTCCTCATGCTCTGCATCTAAGCTGTGACTGACGTATAGAGGATCAGTCTGCAAATCTACGAAGGCTTCCCTCAGGTTTGTACAGGCCATGTCCTGTACAAGGGCGCCTGGCTGAGGGCTGAGGGAGCTTGAATTCCACTCTGTCCCGCTCTCCAGACGAGACCCCAGCTCAGGGTCCCTCCAGGAGGTGGGTGCGCCTTTTCCAATTTGTATTTGGGCCAAGGGAAGCCCTGAGACTCTTTTAGATCCTCACCCTTCTGATGGCAAAGTCTGGTCTTCATCTCCTCACCTCCCACTATGGATGTTTTTTAAGGAAGTGGGTATGCCCATGGCAAAGGTGGATTCATTCTAAAGATGTGTTTTCGGTTCTGTGAAAGCGGAAGGAAAAAACGAGAGGGGGGAAGAGAGGAAGGAGAGGAATAAAAGGAAGAATGAAGACAAAGTTGTCCTTCTGCCTAGTAAATTGTGGATGCACTGTCCTTCCCTGGACACAGCTGCAAAGGGGTAGAAAATCAATTTTTTTCTATTACTCCACAGTGAGGAAGGAAAACCTATTTGTAAATTGAATTAAACCCAATAATAGCATGTCTGTGTATTTGTCGAGGACTATAAAAATTAGCCACAGATACAACTACATAACCCAGCAATGTAACTAGAAATCAACACTCTCCTATTTCAAAGCTTAGTTGAGACATCTTTCTTCCTTTTTTAAAGAAACACCCATGGCTAAATGTCACTAAGACTCTTCAGCGTGCCAACATATCAACACCTCAGTAAGGATTCTGGAAGGGAAGAAACTCCAAAGCCCCATCTGGGCAGAACGTACTTCCAATTCTTGCCTTTGCTTCTTGTGCATCTCAGTCAGTAATGATGATTGGATATGGACTAGAACGTTCTAGAAGACAGTTTCTTTCCAATTACCTTTGGGAGATAATTAGGTCTTCCCAAGTTGCAACGTGTGGTGCTGACCTTGGAATGAATCCTCTGTGTCTGTGTAGGCTAGATCCTGTTCACAGAAACCCTAACCCATCCACTGAGTCGTGAATTACCAGGCTACAGCAGTGAGGGTCTGGAAATTTCATTAGCAGTCTGCCCTCTAGTGGGATAACACAGTACTTCAGATAACTAGGAATAGAAAAGATTTTTTTCTTCTCTTTCAGAGAGCAAAAGAATTCAAGTTTTCCAGATAGTGCAAGGTGAGGCATTTATCCTCAAAGACAGCGTCCAAAGCTGAATCAGGCAAGGCTCACAATGACAGGTCCCCAGGTCAAAGACAGGGGGTGCTGTTGTGGGCGTGGCAGCAAGGCCTGCAGAGGCAAAGGTTCTCCTTCTCACATTCCTGGAACCCTCCAGGGTTCTCCTTGGGCGACAGCATTCAGTTCCCCAGTCCACTGTAAAAATGGGACCCACTCTCAGAGCAACCAACCCATCAGGAATATTACAAATAATAGGCATTTTGTAATTTTTTTTTGTGTGTGGCAAATTATTGACACAAAAGAGGCTTTCAAATAGGCTGGGTTGAATTTTTGCAAAGGCGGAGCATTTTGTAAAAAGACCACATCGTTGTGCCTGTTGTTCTTAGCGCAGAGTCTGTGTTGTGATGGTGGCCGGATGTTGGTAAGGCAGGGGACGGGCTCAAGGCTGCTGTCAGGGTCCGCTCCTGTCTTCTAAAAGCTCAGAACTTGGCCTGCTTCAGCTTGTCGATGTGGTAGCAGAGTTTCAGTGCAGGTCCCAGCTTCAGGCCCAGGTATTTCATAATCATGTCACTCTTCAGCAACAAGAGAGCATTGCCATCAATCTCCTGGTGGGACAGGATCAGTGCAAAGGAAACCCAGAAGACAGAGTAATCAAATAGTGGCTACAGTGAAGGTGTAGTCAGGAATGAGGAAGGGAACATGGATTTACTTAGGGACACATTCTCTTAGTCCCAAGGCAAGATCTTCTTTAAAAGACAAAGCACAAAAACCATACGCTGCTCCTCCCATTATCTCCCTGGGGTAATTTAATAGAATGGATCTTGCATATTCCCACTTAATCCTGATCAAAGGAATCAAATGTAACTCCAGCATGGTCCCAATATCCTGCATATGATGTTTATCTTCTCATCCAATCTAGGGCTAAATGAGCAAGAAGTATGCAATGTTTGTTGGACCGAATGTTTGTTTCCCCAACCCCACCTTCCAAACCCCTGAATCCTATGTTGAAATCCTAACCTCCAATAGGTGGTTACTTTGAGGGGGGTAATTAGGTCATGATGGTGAAGCCCTCACGAATGGGATTAGTGTCCTTATCCAATGAGAAAATGGCAGTCCGCAACCGGAAGGGGGCTCTCACCAGAAGCAGGTCAGGCTGATCTCGGACTTACAGCCTCCAGAACGGAGAAGAAAATTGCTATTGTTCATAAGCCAGCCAGTCTATGGCACTTTGTTATAGCAGCCTGAACACAAGATGCCATCCATTGGACCCGTCCGAGTGGTTCCTTCCCATTCCGGGTGTGGTATAACCCTGACTTCCATCCATCACTCATCTCTTGTTTCTTTTCTTAGTAAAGCCCACCCACCTTTAGTTGATTGCCAGATTGCCAGTTACACTCTATGAGAATGTTCGGGTGTTTTTTGTTTTTTTGGCCCTGTTAATAATGCTGGGTGACATACATTAAATAATGCACCAGCTTCCTCTCAGGGTCTGGCACAAAGCACTGCTAAAGGAATGCCAATCCCTGGAGGTCCTGGCATTGCTCCCATTTGTTTCTGAAAATGGGAACCCTCCAGAATGCATGCTGAAGTCATGGACCGAGTAGGGCTGGGCTTCCTCCTTAACCTCCGGTGCTATTTTTAGGTCACTTGAGACCAAAAGTAGAAATTTTGGGCACTCAGATGGGGAGAAGAGGCACAATTATAGGACTCACATAACTGTGCAAGGGTCACTGGTCCTTCTTATTCATCTAGCCAGCCCTCCAGTTATGGATGAAGCACTGACTCTGGGTCACTCACTCTCCATGTCCTTGGAAAAACGGCAGAGTGGGCAAATCTCACCTGTGGGCCCTCCCAGGGGCCTCATTGCCTAATTTCTCTCTTCACTCCACCCCCTAGACTTTCACTGTCTCCCACCACTTTGGAAGACAGCCAGGCTCCTCCCACCCAGCTCTGTCTAAATATAACCCAGCCTGTGGTCCTTGCTCTTAAGGCCGACTGTTAGGTGAGGTCAAATATATCCCTGATAAAATGTGAGATGTGAGTGTCAGGTTAGATAAGGATCCTCCCCAGATCTGAGAGTATGATTTCAATGACAGAGTCACCAAATAAAATGAAAGACAGGAAAAAATGAATGGTAACTGTAGAAAGCAGAATAACGCTCCCTCTCTCTCCCCTAAGATGTCTATGTCCTAATCCTTGAAACCTAGGATATACCTGGCAAAGGGAAATCATGTTTGCAGATAGAATTAAGGCTGTCAATCATCTGACTTATAATAGGGACAGTATCCTGGATTATTGGGGAGTACGGAGCAATGTGATCACAGGGTCCCTAAACGTGGAAGAAGAAAGAACCAAAGAGTCAGCAGCCTGAGAAGAACCCCATTTAATGGTATGGCTTGGAGGATGAGAATGAGTTGATAGGAGCCAAGGAATGAGGGCGGACCTAGATGCTGGAAAAGGCAAGGAAATGAATTCTCCCGAGAGCTTCCAGAAAGAATATCAGCCCTGCTGACACCTTGACCTCAGCCCATTGAGACCCCTGTCAGACTTCTGACCCACTGGACTGTAAAGTAACAAATTTGTGTGTTTGGGGTTGGGGGAAGGTAGAAGAGGGTAAAGTGGGTCAAATGTATGGTAATAAAAGGAGATCTGACTTGGGTGATACAGATGATGTATTATACAGAATTGTACACTTGAAACCTACATAATCTTACGAGCCAATGTCACCCCAATAAATTTAATAATTTTTCAGAAAAATGGGTCATTTTAAGCTACTACATTTGTGGTAATTGGTTACAATAGCAATAGAAAACTGACATCGTAAGCTTGGCAGGTAGAGAATTACTTCTGACCTTTTTTTTCATGTACTATCTTTATATATTTCAGAATCTCCTAAATGATTATAAGAATGCCTGCTGCCTGAAGGCTCTCATCAAGCCAGGGACCATGCTGAGCACTTGGGGTGCATCTTCTCATTTAATCCTCAAGCAGCTTAGGACTCGGCACTGACACAGTTTGCCTGGCATATAGTAGATCAGCTATAAATATTGTTGAATGTGCAGATGGATGGGTGGATGGGCAAAGAACATAGGCGCTCTTGTGAAAGGCCAACGTGATGGAACAGATGGGACAAATATCCCTTTAAAACAACCTAAGTGGTGGTTGTGCTGAGAAGCCTGTGGTCCCAACTGGCCTCCTTGGGTGGTACCCCCAGGGCTTAGTTCAGACCCCTCCCAAAGCCCACAGCTCCCTGAACTTCACTCCCCTCCTCTGCCTCCCTCCACCCGGCCTCCCCGGGCCAGGCCCACCACACATACATGCTTTCTGAAGAGCTCCACGTGGGGCCCCAGGGCCTGCGGGTCAGCGTCTTTCACAAACCAGACCACATCCTCCACGGTCCAGGTGGACGGGTTCCTGCTCCTCGGTCGCCTGCCGTCCTGCCCATCTGGAGAAGGGCTTGAGGCTGGATGGGTGAGCACAGAGAGTGGGACCTTTAGATACCAGGACAAGGGCCTCAGCACCGACCTGTGCTGCCTGCTCCCCCCAGCCCTCTAGCCCAAGACAGTGGCCTGCGCGGCCTCCTGTGACAGAGCAAGGCTGTGTGTGCCTACACACGGGTCGTGACCCACTGTTCCTCTAGCTTCCCTTGCCCACCTTTAGCGGCGCTTTTGCTTCTGTCTAGGGGACATTTACCCTCCCTTCTTCCCAGAGAGGTTCCACCAGCCATCAGAGCCCAGGGAGACCCCGTCCCAGGCAGCATTTCTGTGTCCTGCCGGCTGAACACCACCTTCCTTCACCTTTAACCCAGAAATCTTTGTTCTTCTCTTAAGATGCTTTCTGGTTTGCATTACAAGCAGGCATGTCCTTGCCCGCAGCCTCCAGTTCGATTTTAATTTCTTGAGGATGATCTTTGTCACCCCAACCCCAACCCCCCATTCATTCCATGAACATCTCCTGAGCATCTCCCCTGCACCAGGTCCTAGGCCAAGTGTCTGGTGGAACACAGTATCCTCTCACTACAGCGTCGGTCATCATCGGCTCCTCCCTGGCTCTGAGTAAATGTATTTGTAAGCACTGGGTTAATGTAAACTGACTTAATATCCTTTGCAGAAATAGTATAAATAACTTATACAAGAGCCTTGTGTGAATAATCCTTGATCCTATTTTCAGGCCAGAAAAAAGTCTAGGCTGTAAACGATGAAGCTGCTTTCCCACAGAGGAATCCTAAATTAGAAGCGGAGGGGCCTGCGCTTCCGTGGGCGTCTGGTGCAGCGGCTCTCTGCGCTCTCCTGCTCCTCCGCACGTGCCTGAGCCGCGCACCGTCTCCGTGAGCCTCGAGAGGAGCACTGCAGCCCACTTCCCAGTCTGCCCTAACTACCTAACGGTTTGGTTGAGAATTGGGTTTACTTTGAGATTTCCCCTGCCTCTTCCTTCTTGGACCTGGAAGGGTCCCCTAAGGTGGTCTGGCTCGGGGCATTTTGGCAGGGAACAGTTACTGGCCCCCTGGAGCCATCTGAATGAGGGTGCGTGCTTGTTAGAGGTGATCCTACTGCCTTCACGGCCATCTGCACCCAAGTGGGGACGAGGCCTCATGGAACTGCATTCGCCTCTGGATCCCGCCCCGTCGGAGCTTCGGCATTAATCAGGGAGATAATAGATGCTCTGATTACAAAGGCTGGAAGTCTCCGGTGCCAAGAATGATTTCAGAGTGATCACAGCAGAGGTCAAATCTAATTTCCTGTATTTGATAGAAATAAAAAATACCAGACGGACTCAGCCTCATCCACGGGCGCTTAAGTTCCTTTGAGCAAGGTCAGGGCCAGGGCTAGGAAGGAGGTGTCCGGTCTCCGAGGAGGAGGAGGCGCTCCCGGTGAGGACCACGGAGGGAAAGTGGCCCCTCCTGGTGCCTGGTGCTCGCTGCGGGCATTTTTCACTTTTCCAGGCTGGAAGGGCAGCAGCGGGCCCGGCTCGGGAGCCTCTCTGAGGGGCCTTCAGTCACACGCGACAGAGAGCAGCAGGAAGCCTGTCACACCTCCGGAGCACATCAACTCGCTCTAGGAGGAGTGGGACGTTCTGGCGGCAGGTGTAGCCTTTGCAGTGGTCTCTGCCCGCAGAGCGGATGAATACACCAGCCCCTCCAGCTGCTGTGAAGGTGTCAGGACGACAGACGGTGCGCCTGACACAGCCAGGCCAGGCGGATGTGCTTGCACATTGGTGCGATGTGAATGCAGTGTCGCCCTGGGAGCACAGAGCCCGCGCAGCGCCTCCGGCAGGCGGCGTCCCCCAGCGCAGACCGCGGTGTGTGCTCACCCGCTCACTGGGGCCGCGGAGACGGGTAAGAGTGCAGCCCCGCTGTGAATGCGTGTGCAATTAAAGACGGGTGCTGTCCTTGCTAAAGCTGAAGTCACAGTCCCCAGGAATAGAATGACTATGAATCAGGGTTTAAAGCAACCCCGAACATTTTCACAGCACAGGTGCAATCTCTGAGTCCCTCTGTCTCCTACATATCTACAAGCACATGCGCACTTTCCTTCCGCGCATTCATAATTCCGAGGAAACGTCTTCGCTAACAGTAGAGCCGCGAGAAGAATGGAACGAGCAATGAGCGGGGAGTCAGAAATCCCTACCACCCACCAGCTCCGTGAGCGTCTCTGCTTCTCCGGTGTGGAACAGGGGAGTTGGGTGGGAGCTCTAAGGTCCCATCCACCTGAGACACTGTACGGTCCCTTCTCACCACAGGGTCCTGTGCGACACAAACGGGGTTACCTTCTCACACATGTGAGAGCCTCCTCTGTGTCCATGCACAAAGCCCACAGAATGAAGAGTCAACCGCCAGGCTCCTGGTCCCTTTCCTGGCCCTGATGATTCTCTATGGGCCTGTTTCTTCAACTTCTTTCTCAAGAGTATTGTAAGAATCAAGTGAATGTGTAGCTTTGGGCTGGAGCCCGACAAGAAACATCTGAAAGAAGCCCATCAGTGTCCAAAAGAGATGTCGTCCCTCAGGCTACCTGTACATCTCAGCCCGTTCCGACTCCCTGGCAGCTAGAGCTGGGCTGGGAGGACCCAGGGTGAAGGCAATGGGGAGGGCAGGCCTGTCCTCAGCTCCTCCTAGTCACCTGGTCCCGCAGAACGCACCCTTCCTAGACACAAGGCCAGGCACTGTGTGAGGTGCCCGGGTTAGCACACAACATACAATAATTTTTACTATGAGGTGAGGGAGATGGGAGACAGCAGAGAGCCTGCCCAATCCGTAGATTTTTGCTGTTGTTTTGTTAATCCTCACCTGAGGATATTTGTCCATTGATTCCCAGTGAGAGTGAAAGGGAGGGAGGGAGGGAGAGAGAGAGAGAGAGAAAGACAGAGAGAGAAAGAGAGAGAGAGAGAGAGAGAGAGAGAGAGAGAGAAACATCGATGTGAGAGAGACACATCAATTGGCAACAGGGGGCTGTGGATTGAACCTGAAAACCAGGTACATGCCCTTGACTGGGATCGAACCGGAGACCGTTCGGTCTGTAGGCTGATGCTCCAACCACTGAGCAAAATTGGCCAGGGCACAATATTTAGATTTTAATCACGTTTTTCTTTTATTCCTTCCAGACCAGCTGACACGCCTGTGTGAGAAGAGAGGACCACAAGCTTCCAGCGAGGCTGAGCTGGGCTGATTCCTTCTCTGTCGCCACAGACACCGTGACCTCTGGGCAAGCAACCTGATCTCTGCCCGGAAGCCTCCAGCCACCCCTCTCCCCACGGCCCCTCCCGGCCAGCTCCTGCTCTCCTTCCAGCTGGCTCCACGGTCACTTTTCCGGGAAGCCTTTCTGACTCCCCAGGGGAGGCTCGGTGACCTCTCCCTATCCGACCCTTCCATTGCATCCATACTTGTCGTGTGGAGCAAGAGTCGCAGCTGTGATTCAGCCGGTGCCATTGCTGTGTTTGTCTCTCTGGAACGCACCCTGTCAGCTCCATCCTCAGACCTGAGATCCCAGGCATGTTGTGCTCACTAATACCTGCTGGCTGGGACTCACCGAAAGCTCTCTAAGTCTTCGATGTCACAGCTCTTCCTTTTCCCCAGAATGAGCGGGCCCTTCCATACCTCGGTCATCCCATCCACACCACATACAGCGCCGTACCCACCCCTCCGGCTGAATCGTCTCTATCCGTTACCTGACGCCACACCTATGGGAGCAAGCTCCAGCCCATGGGAAGCATTTGAGTGGTAATAACAATGTCAGATTCCCTTTGTTTTGTTGTTGTTGTTCAGATAGAGTGGGAGGGAGAGAGGAGGAGGGAGAGAGAGGAAGAGAGAGATAGAGAGAGAAACATCGATGTGAAAGGGACACATCGAGTGGCTGCCACTTGCATGACCCAACCAGGGCCGGGGACAAACCGCAACCGAGGTACATGCCCTTAGTGAGAACCAAACCCAAGACACTCAGGACCACAGGCCGACGTTCTAACCACTGAGAAACCCGGCCAGGCCTCACTTTGTTTCTTGATTCTGAAGCTCACACTTAGTTGTGTTTGGGAATTCTGCAGCATGTGCTGTTATCTGAAACCTCTTCATAGATCTTAGTGATTATGTCTTGGATGAGAGACAGGAGAGAGCTCTCAAATTTTCACCTGAGTATTAGCAAAAAAACAAACCACAGGGGAATGTGTCCTGTGACTACATCCCTTCTGAGTCTTCTGGCAGAGGTGACAGGTATGCTACATCACGACAGCAGGTGGCCAGGGTAAGCGTACACAGGAGAGGGAAGGCTGGTAAGTTTGTCACGTCATCAACATCCACTCCCCTGCCTGCAGCCTTGTGCAGTGTTCTGGCCTCTGTGGTTTTAATCCATTTTGATTAGCACCATGGGGGGAAATCCATTTCTAGTTCCCTTGCAGAGTTTATGACTCGGGTCAAACCCTCTTAAAGAGGTATGGCTCCTTCTCACCACCTGGGATGCAATTGCTTTCACCTGGGATGCAATTTCAGCGCACTACTGAGCGTTCACTGGGCAGAGGGAAAACTTAACAGCCCTCCAGAGGCCCACAGCAGGCAGCTGGGTGACAAATGGGTAAGGGGGCCAATGGTTTTCTCTCCTGCTTTAATATATTGCCACTCAATTAAGTCTGGTTTATTTCCACGGTTTCCAAATGTGCTTAGCTATGCAAATTTTGTTCAAGCAAAGCATACATAGAACCCCACTCTGCAAAGGTAAAGAGGTCCCGGTTAAAGAGGGCAGGATGTTGGAGTCCTGTCTGCTCCCATCCCCTCTTCCCTATCCCCTAGAACCTCTGAGAGTTAGATGCTCGGTAAATAGCTCTTTCGTATGTGCCTTTAACAAGCAGGCCTCTTTTCTGCGGCTGCAGAGGATGCAAACACGAGCAACAAACCTCACTGAGCTGAGGATCTGGTTCCTACTCTGGGGCTGGAGAGAGGAAGTACCAGAGATGAGGAAACGAAGTGCTCAGGGAGGAGCAGGGGAGGATGAACACTTCTGATCATGAGTGTGGCCGAGACTGCCTGTAGCCTAACCAATATTTTTTTTCCACTTCTTCCTTTGTTAGAGAATCCCGGAATCCTTTGAATGGAATAATGGGACCATGATTGCTTGGAATTGAAGCTATATTTTCCAGCTTCCCTTGCAGCTCCTGGCCACGTAACTAAATTCTGGCCGGTGGGATGTAAGCAGCAGGGGAAATCTCTTGCAGGGATGCCAGCACTACCCTCTGCCCGGTTCTTCTCCCCACCCCCTTCCTTCATCTCGATGCTGAGAATGTGCGTGGCTGGCTGGCTGGCCCTTTCCAGTATCTATGGTTCTGTTTAGCACCCTGAAGAAGGCACTCATTAAAAGGAATTTTTTGAGCATTAAAAAGTTAATGCACCTACAAGGGTAAATCATTTCATTTTTCTTCAGTGCATCACAAAGGCTCAACAATGAATTTCAACTGTTCATCCTGCAGCAGCTTTATCCTAGGAGGCTGGTGGCTGTGTGATTTTGAACATCCCACAGCCCTAGGGGATCCTGCTGAGTATGCACAACTCTAATGTTCAGGGTATCAGGCAAAGTTCTCACTAACATTTCTAAGTTGTGAAAGAGACCATTAATATTCAGGATCTAGTTAGTGGTTTGCTCGGAGTGGAAGGCAGCAGGCACTGGAGGGCTCTGTTCCTCTGACCTCACCCAGGATCCTGAGAGGCAGAAGTCCTGAGCGAGGGGGGCTCTCCCGGGGTGCAGCCAGGGCTCTGGCAGAGAGGGTTTTCTCAGAGCTGGACCAAGCAAGGGTCTGGGCCTCCCCCCTGGCAGATTGCTGATCAGGGTCTGATTCCAGGAAAACAAAGGGCGGGTAGAGATAAAAATAAAGGACAGGAGGGTGGTTGAAACTGGGGTGGGAGGACATCCCAGGCTCCACTGGAAGGAGGCAGCAAGGGACTTGGACAGCTGAGCTCCCTTGAGACCCCTCTGAAGGGTCCTGGATTCCCCTCATCCAGGGGCACCAGATGGACTGGGATGGGCTAGACAATTCGACAGCAAGTGATAGTCCTCTGCATCCAAGTTGTATCTTCCTCCTACTGCTTGAAATTCTACACTTAAGACATCGGGCCTGAGATTTCACCCACCAAAATGGGGGAGAGAGTAAATGTCTCCTTTTTACAATTCAATCAGGGTGGTGTCCAGTGGTCACCACCCCGAGCAAATGGGCGTTGGGTTGAGGAGAAGAGGTTGAGAGAAAGATGTGTAAAGGGCAGAGGGATGCCAGGATGAGAGCTTTGACAACCAGGGACAATGTGAGGTGCAGGGCACCATGGTGGCGGGGGCAGGGGGCAGGTACAGAGAGAGTGAAGGTTTATTGAACACCAACTATATGCCAGATGTTACTCTAACTCTGGGGATAAACCGGGGACATAAATGCTGCCCCTCATTCACTTTAAGACATTGGTCTATGCCAGATCTTGTTCCCTTCTTTTGTTACTGGAGAGGAGATGGAAGTGTCTCTCCCTTTAGGAAAACGGGCTCTGCACACCCAAATCTCCTGCCCGGCCGAGAGCCCTGCATGATAGTGTCGAGGAGTGGTCTACAGGTGCCTCTGCATTTGGTAAAAGCCCACCCCCCGGCTGAGGGACTCTGCTGTACCTCTCAGAACTGACCCCTGCAGAGGCCCCTGCTGCCCCCCAATCCGGCCAGCAGAGGCTCATCGGGGGTGGGCGAGGCTCTTTGAGGGGGGTGTGTGGAGGGCCTTGGATCATACAAGGGAGCTAACTGCTACGGCTTCTCGGGGCTGCTGGTGGAGACAGAAATGTGGCTTGCCAAGGCTCAGGACAGAAATGTGGCTTGCCAAGGCTCAGGACAGAAATGTGGCTTGCCAAGGCTCAGGACAGAAATGTGGCTTGCCAAGGCTCAGGGCAGAAATGTGGCTTGCCAAGGCTCAGGACAGAAATGTGGCTTGCCAAGGCTCAGGACAGAAATGTGGCTTGCCAAGGCTCAGGACAGAAATGTGGCTTGCCAAGGCTCAGGACAGAAATGTGGCTTGCCAAGGCTCAGGACAGAAATGTGGCTTGCCAAGGCTCAGGGCAGAAATGTGGCTTGCCAAGGAAGACAGCCAGCCCCCTGGGAGGCTCCGGGGGGCCAGGTGAAGACTCTGCCTCCTCGGCCTGGACCTTCCTTCTTCAGCTGCTGAGTTGATGCGCTGTGCTCTGTTGGGTGTGTTCACATGATCTGCGACTACTGACATTTACTGGGCTCTTACTTTGTCCTAGGCCTTGTACTAAATACACATATGAACTTATTTAATCCTCCCAATGAACCTGTGAGGTAGGTGCTGTTATTATTACTCCAGTTTTACAGATGAAGAAACTGAGGCACAGAGGAGCTCGGACTTGTGAAAAGTCAAACAGAAAGTGGCAGATCCCGGATTCCAGCCCAGGCTGTCCGGGTCCCAGTCCGTGCGCTCATCCACTGTGCTCTACGGCAGCTACTCATTAACAAAATACTGAAAATTATTTTTAAAAAAATCAGAATGGACGCCAAACTATCCCTAGAATGACAGCGCTTTCATACTTCGCATCCCAACAAGCGACCGGTCATGGGTGAGACAGAGGTCACGCTACAACCAGTGCTGTGGGAACTTTGCTGAACTCTGCGCCACCCACGTATCTGTAGCCTTTGGGTGTCACCCACCACCCAGAGAAAACTCTTTGCTAAGCTCTGGTGCTTGTTCCTGGCACAGAGCTGGTCCACACCTCTCAGACCCCTTAGAGTTGAGTGGCAAACTGGCCAGCTCTTGCCAAAGACATGTGAGTGGACATGATGTGACTACGTCCAGGCCCTCGGGAAGTGTGTGCCTTCTCCACTTGCTCCGCCCTTTCTGCCCCCTGAGTGCTTGGGCAGGGAGGCCTGGGGACAGCAGAGCCAGAGGAAAAACAGAGCCTGGGCCCCCAACTGGGATGCACCCACCAACTAGGAACACCCACCTTGGTCTCTTGAACAAAAAATAAACTTCTATTGTACTTGAGCCACCATACAAGTCTACTTACTCCTACAGCCTAGCCTACACCATTTCCTTTGCTCACTGCCAAAGGCTGATGTCAGCTGTCTTCAAGAACAACCCAAATGCAAAAGGGGCCGCGGAGCCCCGACTTCCCAGTGTCCCCAGTGTCCCCAGTGTCCCTGGCTCAGACGGCACAGCCCCTCCCGCACGCGCAGGCCCGCAGAGGAGGGGAAGCCACAGGAAGCGCTGAATGTGCGTTACGTTACCACATCTGTTTCCTTCCAGAGAGGGCCCATTTCTCTTAGGGCTGGAGCCTGGGGGTCTCGGCCCGGGTGCCGAGGGGCCTCCGGAGGACATGGGGCTGCTGCGGGGGCCCCCGGCGGTGGTGGCTGGGCCTCCCCCAAGGTGGCCGTCTCCAGAGTTCTGCCGCTTGCAGTACAGCGAGGAGGAGGCGGGCAAGGAGCCCCTGTGGCTAAAGGCGGAGGCGGAGGGGTCCAGGCTGTAGCGGTTCATGCCCACAGGGCTCACCAGGCGGCACTCTGCGGTGGTGAATGTTTTGGCTAAGCAAGAAAGCAGGGGAGAGAAGCAGAGATCAGAGAGCAGTTCAAGGGGCCACCTGGCTCTCAGTCTTGGCAGACCTTCCCCAGCAGCACAGGCCCGCTCTCTGGGGGGACAGGAGATGAGGAGTGGACCCCATGGCACAATCCCTAACAGCTCACCTCTCAGCAGATGGAGACACCTGCCTCACCAACAGAGCATATTATCTTAGGGATTGGGAGATATGTCCCTCCGTGTCCGCAGGAAAAGTGATTATCTTAGTGATTGATGACTTGGAAATAACATTCAAAGGAAGGTCTTTCCTCCTCCATGGCTCCGCCCCCCTGGCAGTGTCTGCCAGCTTGTCTGAATCTCTGCACACCCTTCTCTTGCCCACCATCACTGCCTCCCTCGCCTGGCAGTGCTGTAAAGAGGCTGGAACCCTCGTACTCTGCCGGTGGGAGTGTAAAATGGTGCGGCCTCTTTGGACAACAGTCTGGCTCTTCCTCAAGTGGTTAAAAATAGAGCTATTATGTGACCCAGCAATTCCATTCCTAGGTAACCCAAGAGAAATGAAAACGTACGTTCACATAAAAACTTGTGCATGAATGTTTACAGAGACACTGTTCATAATAGTCAAAACAACCCACTTATTGAGCACCTACTATGGGCCAGCATCATTCTAAGCCAGTGATTGGTAAGACTGTCAGTGCATTCCCTCTCTTGGGACACTAATATATTGTCTGGGACACTAATCCTTTTTGTGTCCCCAATGGCAGATGCCTTGGTATATGTGAGGAAGCAGCTCTCAGTGTATGGCATACAGAAGGCACTCAATATTTTCTGAGCAGATATTTGGGCCAGTTTAGCAATGAGGCAGCCATTATACAGACTATGTATTAAAATTCAGATTACAAAGGATTAAAGATAAATTCTTCATATAGACGCATGATAAACAATGGGAAAAAAAAGAGATTGAACTAAAATATTTATTCTGTTTATTCAATATTTAAAATCCAAATTAAATATGTCTATGGAATTATGATAATTTAAGGGAGAGAATGCAAATAATTCGCCAATCTGCACTACAGTTGGAAAATATACATGCAGACTGAAAATTGTTCTCCTAAGACAATGTGTGGAAATGGGGAACAAGGGAACATGGACGTGATTGGTTTAAAAACTGCTGGTGACCGTGGATGAGATCAAAGGTTTAAAAAGCCAGTTTCTGGGCTGTGATCCAAATGAATTCATTAGAAAGTAAAACTGACATGAGAGAGCATCAAGCATTAGCCCTCTACTCAGCAAAGATGTGCCAGTGACCCTGAAGTCAGCTGGGTGGACAACCATGGAGAAGCCACCAAGCCCGAGCTGTGGCTCTGCACAGCCTGCAGCTCCCAGGAAGCCTGGGAGTGAACATCTGGGTCAGGGGCACACAGCAGAATTGATCAGACGCATCTGCTCAAACCCGATGGAAACAGCCATTATGAGTAGGGGTGCTGATGCTAGCATCGTACCTGACAGATACAATGAAGGCCATCATCACCCAACCACAGGGCTGAAACGGACCTTCACAGAACACCCAGCCCAGCATGTCCTAAAGTGTTAAATGCCTCCCACTGGTGGGACAGGGGATGGTTTTTGGTGGTACTTCTGTGTATTTGTGCAGAAATTGCCACTGATTTGGCGGTTTATGAGAACAGACATATATTCTCTCACGCTTCTGGAGGCTAGAAGTCTGCAATCAAGGTGTCAGCAGGGCCATGCTTTCTCTGAAAGTTTCAGGGGAGGGTCCTCCCTTGCCTCTTCCAGCTATTCAAAACCTTAATACTGTTCACAAGCCTGAAGGCACCCAGCACACCGGTAGATGAATTACAGGCATGCGGAACTTCTAGTAGCGTAAACATTTAATAACATAGGACACATGGGTTGTTTGTTGCCTGAAACCACTACTTAAAGTTGGAAAAAAGAAGGACCAAATTTGTACGTGGAGAGAAAAGTTCGCTTTTCAAGCGGTTTTGTGGCTGACTGGTGAGTGAACACCAGGTGGGGCCAGCAGACCTGGGATCGTCCAGCCCAAGAGCCCAGCATGGATCCAACCCTGCACACAGACACGTGCAAACCACGCTCATGGTCCTTTTCTCCTGGATTCTTAGAAAATCCTTTCTCATCTGAAATGAGCTGTCTTGCTACCCCCGAACCTCTCATTAAACAAAGCAGGGTCAACAAAAGGTGTTTTGTGCACTTCTCTTCTTTAGCTGCCTCTGTCCCAGAGTCTAAGGACGCCACTTGAAAATCATTCAATCTTTCCTCCAGAAAAAGGAATGGCCTGCTTTTGTATGCTCACACACGCATGCTTACATAGAGAGGCAGATGCAAAACGGCACATTCAGAGAGGCAGGGTTTCGTGTCTTAGGAACCTTCCGGACAGCTTTTCACCACGGCTGACCTGTGGACTGATTTCTCCCAGTGCGTGAAGCCTGCCCACGAGTGAGGCCCCAGAACACTGGGACAGTTCAACCCCACTCAGCCTCAAGGGATACCCACTTGCTTCCAAACCTGAACTGTGTCTACGCCTCTCCGTTTGGGGAACAAACCCCAGCGTCAGGGGAGTGTGGGCTCCCCTCCTCCCTCACCCCTACAGAGGCCTCTGCGAGGCTTCCAGGATGCCTGGCCACCCGGTCCTGCTGCGGCGCGGAGTCAGGCGTGAGGACCGGGAGCACCTCCAAAGAGCAGGCAGAGGCAGACCAAGAAGAGAGCCAAGAGCCAGAGAGAGAAAGAGAAAGTTCCGAAGTGGCGGGAGCGGCACAGAGAGGGAACAGGGGCCCACGTGTACAAAACCACAGACCCTCCTGACCGAGTTGCAGTTCAGCTGGCATTGACCCTTGTTGGGTAGGACATAAGGCCTAACTTCCTAGTTAAGTGAACTTGGACTATTTATTTTATTTTAAAAAATTAAACTGGCACTTGGATTCTCTAACTAAAGGAAGCCCTGAAAAGCAAAATACCTCCATCTGCAAATTTATTTGCCAATAATATCTGTTCATACAATAATAACCCCCAAATTGCAGAGCTTTAGGCACGATTCTTCCCCAGTTCTTCTCTCTCATTCTGTCTGTCGGTCTGTCTGTCTCTCTCACATGCACACTGGCCCTGCACTACCCCCTTATCTCCTCACTTGGGTCATGACCTCCAGGTACAGAAGCAGCTGCACAGAGTGAACCCTTCCTGCCAGCTTCACTGCCACCTTCCCCGGTTGGGAGCCTGTGCCTCTCTTGGGATCAGTTGCCAGCAGGCCTACCCAGCCCAGCAGGGCAAACAACCCTGCCCAGTTTGGCAAGAGGGTCAAAGCACTGGGTCAGTGTCCAGAGTACCCATGTGTGAAAGGCTTGGCTGGGCTGCTTAAAGAGACGGACGGCAGCGCCACAACCTCTAGCCCGGAAACCCAGATTAGAAAGGAAGGTCACACGGTCAGCCTGATCACACGGAATAGCTGCTCCCAGTGCTTCACCTGGTGCCACCACCTGCGGAGCGCCAGCAGCCCTGGAAGGTGGGGACCGAGCTGGGCAGGAAGAGGAAGGGGCAGGAGCGAGGCCCCAGGAAACAGCAGCAGTCCCCAGCGGAGCCGCCTCTCCCTCGCTGGAGCCAGGACACTCGGGGCGTTGTTCCCTACCTCGGTGGCTGTCTCCGACACCAGGCAGCCGCGCTCCTCGGGCCCGGCGCCGCCCAGCCTGCCCAGTGCTGTGGGAGGCCTGCGGGACCTCCCGAGGGTTTCCTGCTGGCGGACACCAGCGGATTCCCTCCTGCCCTCGCTGCCTTTCACCAGGCTCTCTGCGGGAGATTCGCAGATTTCCTTTCTGAGGCAGTCCCGCCCCTCATTCTCGCTCAGATAAGCTCATCGTGTTTTCCCCAGGGCCCTCTGTGGCCTCCTGTCCCAGGCTTCCTGGTTCAAAGGGCACCAGGCCACACCGCCAATGAGGCTTAGCATTTCATTTGCTTCAATTAAATTTTCCCTCAACTTGGTCTCTGGCCAGTATAGATTTTCTCTTTAATCTTGTCTCTCAGTTCAACTCCCTCAGCCCTCAGAATCAACCTTATGACTCCCTTCTGGTCCATTTAAATACATTTATATCCTCTCTCCCCTAATGAGATGCACAGAAACCAAGCATAATTTTCATGCCTGACACTTAAACTCCTCTAGTCCTCCTGGATGCTTCTGATTGACCTACCCCATATTTCTGGTTTGCCTAAGACTTTCTTCTAAGCCTATGGGTTGATTTCCTGCTGTGGAAATTTTGCCCAAAGGCAATTTCGCCCCAAGTCAGCCATTTGGAATAACGATTGGCCTTTCATTCTCAAGCGGAGAGCAGGTTTCATACCCACCCTCTCTAGCGGCAGTAGCTGCTAAGATGCATCTACTATGGAATAGCTGTGCAATTCTCTCTCCCCTTTGCCAAGCCTCTCCCCCAAGAAGCATGGGAACTCCCAGGAAGGGGGGGCTCCCTCAGTCATGTTCTGTTTTCTTAACAGCCTCCACACTTTTGAGGTTTTCATAGCACTCTGAAGAAATTAAAAGTGGTTCTTAATCAGGGAAATGTTGCAGTCCTGGAACAGAGAGAGGACACCTTGAGTTTTGCTCTAAATGGACACCCTGACTTTGAGGAAAGCTCAGGGTACTTCCCAGTATTCCTCACACTCGCGGAGCAAGTTGCCGTGGCGTGAGGTGCTCTGTGGAGAGGGCTCTGTTGCAAGCAATCAACAGCTTGTGGGAAACGGAATCTGGTCAACAACCCGTGAATGAGCTAAGAAGTGGGGCCTCCCCTAGCTGCGCTCGTGGGAGACCAAGGGCCAGAGGACTTAGTCAAGCTGACTCCTGACTCACGGAAACTAGGAGATGATCCATGTTATGTTAAACCACCAAGTTTGGGGGTAACATATCACACAGCAAAAGATAACTCATACAGATGGGAAAGGGGCATTTGCTTCATTCCTCTTCACTCTGCCTATCCCGAAAGGACACTGT